GCCTCCGTTGTACCAGCCACCGAGAACCGTGGCTAAGACCCATGATGTCGCCAGACGTGGCAAAATGGCGATTGTCTAAGTCCATCGTTCCTTCTCCATTTTTTCCGCTGGAATTCTTCTGTAAAGAACGTTCCTTTAATGCCTGTTTGGTTACTCTAAAATACAGTTCTTATAGGAAAGGACAGACACATTCTGTCCTTTTTATCAATTTTCAGAATAATTTTTCATGTCCTAGTAACCTCTCTAGGTCTCCAGTTATACACATACATATAAGCATCTATATGCTCTTATATGTTTTATGGATGTGTATGGGTTATGTATATGTATAATTGTGTATCTTTATGCATTTATGAATTTTTATATAGTCTGTAGCAGGGGTTATTCTTTCGGAGGATGAAACGGCTCCTTCTTCAGTGGCCATCAGAGGGGAGTCCCTTCAGGCTGGTCCCTGTGTCCTTTGACATAGTCTCAGTAGTCTTTGATGGCTTCTTTGCTTTGGAGCTCAAAAGGTCCCAGACTCATCATCTTGCTTATTTCCTTCCCCAGCAACCTACGCTTCCTCCAAGGAGCACCTGGTCCTTTTTAGGGGCAAATGAGACTTAGCGACCACAATCTGCGATCCTGGGGTACTCACTGCCGATGGGTTGTCATTGCTTCTAGGCCCTTGGGGGCAGATGGAGGCCCCCACATAGCGGTCTGCAAGAAGGGAGCTCTCTTGGGATCGATACCTGGGGAAGAGGGGAGAAGGGGTAGACTCAGGAAATGCTTGGCTGTGATGTTGTCTCAATGACCCCACTGGGAGCTCTCAAGCTGGGAACTGTCCTGGGTTGGTGCCTCAGACCAGAGCTTTGTAGCCCTGGATCAATCAGTTATCAGATAGGAGTCGTCCTGGGAAGGGGGCCTGACCTTGGTCAAGACAATTGTCTTCAGCTGAGGCAATTCTCCTGACGGGATGGCAGGTAACATCCCCACAACGGCCTTCTCATTTTTCTAATTCTCTCTTCAGCTGTGTCTAATGTTCTGTTTGGCTTGTTCGCTGAGTTTTTAATTTTTATTATTTGATTTTTTTTATTTCTGGAAGTTCTATTTGTCACCCTCAAATCTGTTTCTTCCTTCTATTTTAGTGGACTCTCATTTTATTCTCATATCTATAATTCTTTGTTTCTTTAATTTGTTTTCTTTTTTCTTTTCTAATCACCATATATACATTACATCCCCAGGACTTGTTTATTTTATTACTGGAAGTCTGTGGCTTTTGATCACCTTCACCCACCATCCCCGACGCCCTCTCACTGACAACCACCCATCTGTTCTCTGTATCTATGAGTTTGTTTTTTTCGTAGACTCCACATATGAGTAAGACCAAGCAATATCTACCTTTCTCTGTCTGACTTATTTCGCTAGTCATAATTATTTTACTATTTTTTTTTTACTATGATTTAACTATTAGTTTTTGTCTGATAGTTGCAACATCTGGGTCATTTTGAGTCTGATTGTGCTGATTGTTTTGCCTTTTGAATATGGATTGATTGTTCCCTGATCATCTATTAATTGAAATGGACATAAACAGGGTTTCTTCCTGCACACAGAGGAGCCTCTCCTGTCAGGTCATCAGTGCGTGTGTGTTGGGGGAGTTTGGATCAACCTGCTCAGATGTTGACCTTGGTTTGGGTTTTGTCATTATCATGGGGACCGTCAGGGCACCAAAGACTTCAGATTTCTTTGGAGTTGGCTGCCAGCGCCTTGCGCTTAGGGTGAGGGATGGGGTTGGGGTGGGGGCACAGAATTCTTGCTCTGCCCTGAGTTTTCTGCTGCCCCAGTGTGCCTGCCACGTCGAAGGGACCTCTTCATGTGTCTGCCTTTTCCCAGGGGAGACTAATGCTGCTGGTGCAACTGTGCTGGTTGGGCTGAGCCGGGGGCAGGAGGGCTCTGTCACCCTGGCCCAGGGTCAACCTGGAGCAGATCCTGTGCACCTGGGACTCGGACAGCAAGTCTCTCTCAGACTTCCTGCTGCTCTGTCCCGGGACGGCCAGACTCTACTTTGTCCCCGTGGGGGTTTGAGACTTTCCCGCCCTCTCTGTTGTAGCAACCCTTTAGGGTACCCGTGGGACCTGGACCCAGGCCTGGTTCCCACCCCCCACACGGTGAGAGGGAAGTTTGTCCTCTGCCCTTTCCATCTACAATGGCACCTTCCTCCAGCCCTCCACCCACCAAGGACCCCACTTTCAGCTGAGCTTACTGGAAAAGAGCTTTTAGAGGAGGGGCTGCTGGGCTCACGCAGGTGTCCGCCTTCACGGGAAGAACGGCAGAAACGCGTGAAGACAGGGCGGAGGGACGAGCTGCATCAGGACGGCACGGTTTATTTGCCTCACACGGGGTGAGGGTTCCTGCTGGCCACAGAGGAGGACCCTGAGAACCAGGGCTTCTCTGAGAGACATGGGGCCACAAGAGACCCAGGTCACCTGCCACGCTCTTACCCTGGAGTTCAGAGGGCTCACTGAATGTGCTTTTCATCTGGCACGTGCAGGATCTGGAGGCCGCCGAGGACCCGTTGTGGGAGAGGCACAGGGCGGCCCCGTCTGTGCTGGGAGCAGCTGGTCAGCAGTGGAAGGGGTGCCATGGGAGATGGGTCTGCAGGCTGGGGTGGGGCAGGAGGGCTGGATGCACCCGGAGGACTGGCGAGAGGGGACCACGCACACGGCGGGCGTGCAGCTCCCGGGCGGGCAGCAGGACGCCTGGCAGGGGCTGGGCGAGCAGC